GACATGTGCTGATATGGTCATCTGCTTTTGCTTCTTGGACATGTTGAATGTTTATCTGTTTGTGTTTTTGGTATTTTTCATGCTTTCTGATTGTTTCCAGGAAGATATGATCAGGATGTGGGCTTCCCTTTTCACTCTTATTATTGTTTAACTCAGAGTAACTTTCACAGGTCTTGTCTGTTTCCCTGGTATATCACAGTTGGTATTGGTTCTTGCCTGGATTTTGGTGTTTTATAGGTTGTGATTGTAGGTTGTCTGTATGGTAGCAGTTGCTGACTCTTCTTGTGTAATATAGTGAGACAAAGAGTCCTCCAAATGCAGAAGGGGGAGCATATAACAGCATAAAAATACCAATAACAACAACAACAAAATTCTAAAAAAACAGCAACAATAAAATCAAGACTGCTCCTGCAGTTTCTATTCACAGAAAATAGAGAGGAGTCAGAGAAGAATAAGAATGAAGAGAAAAAATTAATGAAAATAAAAAGAAAAAAAAATATTAAAAAAAAAAACAAAACAGTAGCCTAATATGAGCTTTCTTTTCCTCCCTACAGCCCTCTCCTTCTCTTTTCCATGTTAAAAAAAAAAAAAAAAGAACAAAAATCAAACAAGAAAAGTTCAAGTCCTGCTCTTGGGCTGAGTATCTGTTGGCCGTTTGGTTTTAAGAGGTAACTGTCAGTAGGTGACACGGCGCTTCACTGACCAGGCAACTCAGGTAGGGAAGTCTCTGGGGAAAAGGGGCAGAATCGCACATAGGAAACCTCTGTCTAGCAGACAGACAGCCTTTGAACAAACATAAGATCTTATATTTCAACATTCTGAACTCGTTTTCTTAAAAGATCAAATTTTGGAGGAATTACAGGCATTTTAAGCTTTTGCCTGCCTGCACGCAGCTCCCGCTTCCGCACCAGTGCCGGCGAGTGTGTCTGCCCCCTGGAGACCTTGGAATGCAGGGCTAGAGCAACCCCACTTAGAAGACTGCATTTCCAGGGAAAAGGAAGCTTGATGAACAAATAGAGAGGGATATTGGCGTGGATATCAGGAAATTTGGGGTACCCACGGTACAGAGACACTGAGAGAGGCATACTTTACATCATCAAATACGGACACTGCCTCCCTACAGCCATTAACCCCAGTCCTCTACAGCCCCAGCCTAGACCAGCCCTCTGCCAAGCCACCGAGGCTCAGGGATGTCCAAGGCACAAGCCCGCCCACTTAGGCCAAGGTCCTCCCAAGGCCCAGACACTCCCACTGGGGCCAAGGCTGGCCCTGAGGCCCAACCTGCCCACAGACTGGTCACAAAATCTCAGGCCCAACCAAGGCTCAAATAACATACCCACTGCCGTGGAGGTCCAGGGCCCCAAATGCCTAACCTGCCGCATAGCTAGGTTGTGGAGGCCCAGGCACCTGAGGCCCAACCTGCCATGTAGCCTGGTCATCGAGGCCCAGTGCCCCTGAGACCCAACTTGCCTTCCCGAGGCCCAAACCACCCGCCCGAGGCCCAACCCTCCTGCAGCCTGGTCGCTGACTTCGAGACCCCCAGAGTCCCAACTCGCCCGCCCTAGGCTCAAGCCACTCGCTTGAGGCCCAAACGGCCCGCCGCCAAGGCCCAGGCACTACTGAGGCTAAAAATGTAACTCTGAGTTAAGCAATAAGAAGCGTGAAAAAGGAAGACCACATCCTGACCACATCTTCCTGGAGGTAATCAGAAAACATAAAAAAAAACCAGAATACATACTTAATTAATTATTAGGACCACAAATAAATATAAAACATGTCCAACAAGCAAAAGCAGATGCCCATATGGACACATGTCCAGAAAAAAGATAAAATATCTGAGACAAATGAACCAGAAGTAGAACTTCTATCCATGCTGGAAGGAGGACTGGCCTTGGAGATACCTGAGAAAGAATTCAGAAAAATGATTATAAAATGTCTCAAAACTCTTTACAATGCAGTTTAGAAAAATAAGGAAGAAGTCAGAAAAGCACTACGGAACAATCAAATATGATAGATACAGCAGTAGTAAAAATCCAAAACCTACAGAAAGAGGTCCAAACAATCAACAACAAAATGGCAGAAATAGAAAACTCCCTGAAAGGGCAGAGGAGTAGAATAGAT